CAGTGTCATAATGCCTTTCAGTTTCCCACAGATACTTAGACTAACTGATCTACGCACTCTTATTTTTTTTCATTAGGACCAGCAGTTTCTTTGGCTTAGACTGGGTATCTGTGAAGAAATGTTTATTGCCGGAGCAGTTGTGAGTTGTGTTCATAGATGTACACTATAGGCACGTAACTCTATGGTAGTGTTCTTCTTCCACGTTCAACAATCACATTGTTACCACAGAATTCTACACAATAAGTGTAGAATTCTGTGATTGTTACTCTCTTGTAACTCTCTAATCTTCGGCACTTACGGCTATATGACCTATTATATTGCAAGTGCCGTAAAACTTTTACTAAAACTTAACTGAACCTGCTCTACACTAACCCATCCAAGACAAACACCCGCATGATGAACTAAAAAGTAAACACAACTTCCACCGTCTCCCCAAGCCTATTTGTCCCAGAGAACCACAACAAGTCAGTACATTGTAGAGATGACCACTTTTCTTCTTGACAATTTATGCGTGGCCGCCTTCTACGAGGGAGGCTGTATTTTCAGGTACTGGTTTTTCCCGGTACAGATCGACGACTGTTTTTGGATTCCCGCATTCCATAAACAGTGTCCGTGGTTTGGGGGGGGGGGGGGGAGAGAGGTCTCGTGGCCTAGAGGTTAAGTCTTCGCCGCTCATTCAATAGGTCCCAGGTTCAAATCCGGATAGCAGCGACGGAAAATTTTCTTCTCTAAAAATTAACGATCTCCTTTCCCCTCCATTCCTGCTCCCTATACCATACCCCCTCACCTCCTTTACTTTGGCCCCTCCTCTGGGCTCCTGACTCTTTCTGCAGCCTTTCGACTGCTACTCCTTGGCTACTAGTACTTCTTACTGCTGTCTTTCAGCCACACCCCTGAGCTTCTGGTACTTACTAGTAGGAAAGATCTACACTTAGCCTTCTCGGATAAGGGCCAAAAATCTAGGAAGTCCCGTGTGCAAGTTGTGCACGTTAATTAAAGATCCCTTGGTGGTCCAAAATCGATAAGAGTAGGCTTCGGCCGCCACCCGGGCAAATCCTACCAACTGAAAAAGTTTAACGTGTCCCGCGCGCTCATGCACATATGACCTTATGCAGTTGCGAGCGCCGTAAAACACACACACACACAAAAACAAAAACCAACCAACAACAACCAGTGTCCTATGCCTTTCAATTCCCCATTATATATATAGTTACTTGTACTAACTTGTTCTCTGAATTTTTCGTTAGGACCAGTTTCTGTTGCTTGTGGCTCAGGGTACCTGTGGAGATTTTTTCTCTTTGTGCTTGGCCAGTTTTTCTTCCACTTCCAACAGCCACATCGAGTGACATTGTCTTTGTAGATTTTTTTCTTTCTCAGCACAAGAGAATCTCTGCCACCAACAGCAGCAACAGGCTGACAGTAGTTTTAGTTCTAGTACAGGTTTTACGGTGCTCGCAACTGCATAAGGTCATATGAGCGCCAGAAGATTAGAGGTGTTACAAGAGAGTAACAAACATAAAAAAGAAGAAGGGGAGATAAGGACGATAGATGTTTGACAGGAAAGAAGAAGCAAACCACACCAGAGCACCCGCCAACCACCCATGCTGACAGTAGGCCCCCTTTCCCTGATCACAAACTAAACCACACAGAGTACCGAGTTGTCGGTTGCTGCTGCTACTATTGCTGCTATTGATCCAGCAACAGCTGAGCCCTGGCCCTTCTGTCCAATGCCACGTAGTACATAGGTAGGAGTAAGTGCAGGTCCGCTGTTCCACAGAGTGTGTTGTCAGTGTTGTTGGGTCTCCGAGGGAGAACTGTGGCTCTGATTTCATTTAGGACTGTGTAGTGGAATAGATCACGACCCAGTCTCATTGTGTTACACAAACACACAAAAAAAGGAGGAGAGATCAGGACGATAGATGTCAGATAGCAAAGAAAGAGCAAACCACACCAGAGCACCTGCCAACCACCGAAAAATCATGGTTTAGAACAAATTAGAAGATGCACAAAGCACAGACACTCGGGATAGCAGCATCAACTCTTTAATGTTTCCATCCAACACAGAACAGAACAATGTGATTCAACAACAGCAGCATCCAAACAACCAAGCACAACCTCAATGTCTACATCTTTTCAAGAAAATGCACACCAGAATTTCCCAATGGAAAGGCAAAACAAAACTTAAGCCAACCCTCCCCCCCCCCCCAAATTTTTTTTTTTAATTCCCAAATCGGAAATGTACAAAGCAGCAGACATTCCCACAAGCTGTGGTTCCCTCTCCAGCACATGCATTCACAGCAGTCCCAATCACAACAATGCCCAAACAAACAGAAAGTAACAGAAGAATAAATCCACAAAGGAGGGAGACATCACATCCTAAAGTTTTAGTACTTGATTTGTACAAACACACTGGCCGTCAGCAATGGCATGTTGTCCGTCAAATTGTTCTGCATTGGTACATTTGGCATTCTTTGTGTGTATATTTTTGTGTTTAATTATGTACGGTACTTCTCTATGATTACCATTCTAACCCAAAGTTCCCGCACAGGGATCAATAAAGAGTGATTTTTTTTTTTTTAAATCCCGGAACAACAAGGACACAAACTGTACTAGAGTTGGATTCTCAAACTGTACTAGAGTTGGATTCTCCAACTGTACTAGAGTTGGATTCTCCAACTGTACTAGAGTTGGATTCTCCAACTGTACTAGAGTTGGATTCTCCAACTGTACTAGAGTTGGATTCTCAAACTGAACTAGAGTTGGATTCTCCAACGGAACTTGTTCCGTCCATGCGGTGAGCAAAGGCTACTAGAACTTCAGCTCATCATCAGCACCATGCTCTTTGCTTACACCATGCTCTATGCTCTTTGCTTACACCATGCTCTTTGCTCTTTGCTTACACCATGCTCTTTGCTTACACCATGCTCTTTGCTTACACCAAGCTCTTTGCTCACACCATGCTCTTTGCTTACACCATGCTCTTTGCTCTTTGCTTACACCATGCTCTTTGCTTACACCATGCTCTATGCTCTTTGCTTACACCATGCTCTTTGCTTACACCATGCTCTTTGCTTACACCATGCTCTTTGCTTACACCATGCTCTATGCTCTTTGCTTACACCATGCTCTTTGCTTACACCATGCTCTATGCTCTTTGCTTACACCATGCTCTTTGCTTACACCATGCTCTTTGCTTACACCATGCTCTTTGCTTACACCAAGCTCTTTGCTTACACCATGCTCTTTGCTTACACCATGCTCTTTGCTTACACCATGCTCTTTGCTCTTTGCTTACACCATGCTCTTTGCTTACACCAAGCTCTTTGCTTACACCATGCTCTTTGCTTACACCATGCTCTTTGCTCTTTGCTTACACCATGCTCTTTGCTTACACCATGCTCTATGCTCTTTGCTTACACCATGCTCTTTGCTTACACCATGCTCTTTGCATACACCATGCTCTATGCTTACACCATGCTCTTTGCTTACACCATGCTCTTTGCTTACACCATGCTCTTTGCTTACACCATGCTCTTTGCTTACACCATGCTCTTTGCTTACACCATGCTCTATGCTCTTTGCTTACACCATGCTCTTTGCTTACACCATCCTCCTTGCTTACGCCAAAATATCAGAAAAAACAGACAGATGACATCACTCTCATCTCATCACCTAAAGTCACAGGTCCCAAGGTCACATCCGGCCCACCAAACAAATTATATCTGGCCCACGAGAGAATTTTAGGCAGTCCATCCTGAGTATCTCCATTAGAAGAAGACAGAACTTTACTCTGAAATAGAACAAACTTGTTGGCCAGCCATGACACAGAACTTTACTCTAATCAAGAACAAACTTGTTGGCAGGACAAGATGTCAAACATCCAGCAGACAAGATGGCATGTGAGCCAAAACTGGTACGCCTTCCTTTGCTATTATTTTAGTTTTTGTCTGTTCTAGTACATGTCATTTCAAATCAAAATGGTTTAGTCGTCCACTGCTCAGCGAGTCTTTCTCCAGTTCAAATCAAAATGGTTTAGTCGTCCACTGCTCAGTGAGTCTTTCTCCAGTTCAGCCCTCAACCTTCAGTGTACGCCCAGTCTGCCCCCAATCCCGAGAGATTCGGTTAAACACCTCTGCCCTGAGGACCTGACAAGATGGGTTTCACAACTCTCGTCATGAACTCGCATAGACTGGCATGAGATAGACTGGCATGAGATAGACTGGCATGACATAGACTGGCATGAGATAGACTGGCATGACATAGACTGGCATGACATAGACTGGCATGACATAGACTGGCATGAGATAGACTGGCATGACATAGACTGGCATGAGATAGACTGGCATGACATAGACTGGCATGACATAGACTGGCATGACATAGAGCTGTTACAGGCACAGGATCACTCATGGGAGCGGGGGATTCAACTGATGAAAACCCTTCCAAACAAATTTCTGAAAAGACATTTGTGATCTGCATGTAGACCATAACAGTGTCTTCATAACTAGAAGGTCAAAAGAAATCAAGATCTTCATCTCATATATCATCAAATAAACATGTGATTTAATTTAAACTTGTCCAATCTTGAAGCTGAACTCTGTGGCCAGGGACATGGCGTGGTCCATGGCGTGGATGTTCACCAGGTGCTTGCTCATCTGTTTCACGAGTTCCCTGGAAGAAGAACAACAACAAAACATGAACAACAAACGACACAGTCACAAACGTGGCCACACTTCAAAGGGAAACACTCACAAACGTGGCCACACTTCAAAGGGAAACACTCACAAACGTGGCCACACTTCAAAGGGAAACACTCACAAACGTGGCCACACTTCAAAGGGAAACACTCACAAACGTGGCCACACTTCAAAGGGAAACACTCACAAACGTGGCCACACTTCAAAGGGAAACACTCACAAACGTGGCCACACTTCAAAGGGAAACACTCACAAACGTGGCCACACTTCAAAGGGAAACACTCACAAACGTGGCCACACTTCAAAGGGAAACACTCACAAACGTGGCCACACTTCAAAGGGAAACACTCTTCTGCAAGCTAAATTACATACCAAGCCCAACATTTTTATTTTAAAAAAAAAAAAAATGCAGTTTCTTAATCTGCGGTATTGGTAGCATATGGTCCAGAATCATTTTGTTGAAATTCAAATTCTAAATGTTGAAAGAAAGCAAGAAATATTAGATATATCGGATATATTATATTGCTCCAAATATTTTGTTTTCTGGGCTTGGATCAGTTCAGAGCTTGCCAATCAAATGTTGTTTTTGTAAGACGGGCGGCGACTGATGAGACTGACCCCTGACTATCTTCATAGGTTGAGGTCTGGGAATCTACACGAGTCAAGAAATAACACTTGCTAACAGATAGATTCTTGGATCCATACTTCCAACGAGAAGCATATAAAAAATGTTTGTTTGTATTAAACATACGTATACTACATACATATATGTGTCATGGCGTAGTGGACTCAGGCGCTCATAAAATTTTGGACATGTAAAGTTATGAGTATCCTTTTCAAGCCAGTTCCTTTTGTCTTATTTTCCATGAAAAAGAATACTAATCTATCTTGAATCGAAGTTTAAATATCTGCGATTGAAAGGGAATGGAGGGGGGGTGGGGGGGGAGAGAATGGTGTGAAATCAGCACGACAAGACTTACCTCCCCTCTAGCCTGTCGCAGTCCTTTTCAAGCGCCGTAGCTTTGTGAAGTGTCTTGGCAGCACTCACTAAATACCGGCACAGATTCTCTAGCTGAGGGACCGTGGAGTCCCCCTCCAGATTGCTGAACCATTCCTTGGGGAAGGTGGAGATAATCTGGACAAAGAGAACAACAAATCAACAACAGAATAATTCCATACATCGAAACAACCAACATTCCAGCAGAAACTTAACAAAAGTAAACATTGCATGACACCAACACACGACCCCTGATTAGACCACCTCTGTTTCCCCCCATCTATCTGTACCAACATGTCCTCACATCTCCGTGTCAACGTTTGTATCAATTCACCACAAAGTTTTCCTTCCCGGCACATTTCTTTACGTGAGGCGTTTTCCTTGGAGACCTACCACTCTATCAAATGTAACAATCAGTTCTTGGAGACCGTAACAATCACGATCTCAAGAGCAAAAATCGGGATCAACGACAAATCACCGAGGTGATTGCCAAGTTGACTTTAACCCTCATCCTGCGGGAGCCGGGTTTATGTCGCCCGATAAGCCTATTTCGGCACCTCGCCTACGTTCTGGTCCCGAGTCAGTGTAGCTCCTGGCTCAGCGCACGCGCATCCTCTTACGTGTCATTCGGGTCCTGAGTCGGATCCCCATTCACGCAGGTCAAGTGTGTGTGCGTCAGTCTGCTTGAGTTTGTGTGCGTTTGTGGCCTTCTTCTAGAACCACCTGCGTTGGTTCGTAATCGAGGCATACGTCTCATTCAAAACATGCCAAGTTGATAGCTCTAGATGTTCATCCAATGAAATTATAGAAGAAATTGACCCACTTAGACATGAGGAGCTTGAAAGGATAGTCAGGAAACAAGACTTCCTTTTTTCTGTACAAAATATTTCAAATGAGCTTGATTTTGTATGAAATGATACTACCTGATAAAAAATAAGCTTGTTTGATAGTTTTGAATACCCTTGTGCAGGTACAAAGAACAATTTGAGTGTAAAACATTCGGAAATTGACATAAATTATCCCTTTTCGAACCTCAGGTCATTCATAACAACAAGAGCGCCCAGAAAGGTTATTCAAATGGGTGTAACTACTCGTAATGTCTTATCAGCTTGTGAGATGGGGTTATTCATGTGTTTGTAACACTTTATAAATAGAAAGCTATGAAGGATAGAGCGTTATTTTCATCATCAGTTAACACACTCCCGCGGTATTCATAGGGAAAACACACGTTTCCCGGCGCGCGCGCTGTACACCAACAGTACACACTGAGTGACCCCGGCGGCCTGCCCGGCACGTCCGACGTAATCGGTTGCTGATAAGATACGCATCTGGGCACAGACGCAGGATAAGAGTTAAGGTGTCCACAGATATATATGTCGCGTGACAGTGAAGAAGGCAGAGTAAGTAGAATCACCAACACAAACAGTAACCTTGTCACCTTTCTTTGATTCTATGTTCAAACTTACCGTATAGGCCCATTGCTAGGCATCGTATTATCGATAAGCGGAGGATAATTTGCACGTACCACGCTACTCACTGAAAGTAGGAACTGGGAGGGAAAAAGTGGAGAAGACTGTAAATCTCGGATTTCAGGGTATCCGCGGAAGATTCTGATACATCGAACAACAGAAAAGTGTCTCCTGTCACACAAAGCCAGGGGGAATCGGGTCTGCGGGACTGCCAGGTTTTCCGTTTAGAGAGGTTGCTCAAGTACGAGGGAAACAATTGGGGACTTTCATTGCCTTGGGTGTACCGCTGTTGTTGGATTGACTGTGTTTGGTAGAAGCACACTTTACTGTGTGTGTATATATATATATATATATTATACTCCGATATAGAGGGTGTGGTGATGGAGCGGTAAGTGTGCTCCTCTCTGAAGCGGAAAGTCCGGGTTCGAGCCTCAGTTTGGACACAGATTTTTTTCACCCCCTCCTGCCCACCCAGCAGTAATGGGTACCTGACTTCAAGCTGGGGAAGTAAAGGCGGCGTGGAAAGGAACTGGCCACCCTACCACAATATGTCGAAGGCCCAGGAAGTTTCAATAACAAGGTAATCCTTTATGTCCGGATGGGACGCGGGAACAACATTTTATTCCGATATAGCTCACGTCATCATTGGAACTATGTACAACACAACCACAGCGGAGGAGAACAGCCACAGCAGACAAACTGTCTCAAACTCACAGCCTGGCACTTGTGCAGGGCCTCCCTGTTGATGTGAGAAGAGACCAGGCCCACCACGATGTAGCGGTTCAGCAAGCCGGACAACGCCAGTCGCTGCAGGGTCGGGGCAGAGATCAACTGGTGCCAGGACAAAATATTGCCCAACAGCTGAAAGACAAAAGGCAAAAAGTGACATTGACATGTGGGATGTAGATAACATTGACATGTGGGATGTAGATAACATTGACATGTGGGATGTAGGCAACATTGACATGTGGGATGTAGATAACATTGACATGTGGGATGTAGATAACATTGACATGTGGGATGTAGATAACATTGACATGTGGGATGTAGGTAACATTGACATGTGTGATGTAGATAACATTGACATGTGGGATGTAGATAACATTGACATGTAGGATGTAGATAACATTGACATGTAGGATGTAGATAACATTGACATCTAGGATGTAGGCAACATTGACATGTGGGCAACGCCAGACAGAAACTGGAACATTCCGTTGTTTCTGACCCCTCGCCCAATCCTCTCAAAACATCGCCATCTGGTTAGTAGAAAGCTGCACATGTCATGTTTTAGCTATCGTCAACACACGTTTACTTTTGTAGATGGTAGACAGTCCATTGTTACAGAAATTGGTACATTGATTCTACCGAAAATAGCTACAGGAGGAACTTGATTTGTCGCTTAAGACGACAGTTTGTGTGCTGCATAGCTTTCATTTTCCTAGGTTTGTTTTCGTTTTAGTCAGAGAATTTTACAGCACAAGCAACACAAACAGGTCATCTACGTAGCCCCTATGTGCCGAAGATAGGAGAGGTCACTAGAGAGTATGTGCCCAAGATAGGAGATGTCACTAGAGAGTATGTGCCCAAGATAGATGTCACTAGAGAGTGTGTGCCCAAGATAGGAGATGTCACTAGAGAGTATGTCCCCAAGATAGGAGATGCCACTAGAGAGTATGTGCCCAAGATAGGAGATGTCACTGGAGAGTATGTGCCCAAGATAGGAGATGTCACTGGAGAGTATGTGCCCAAGATAGGAGATGTCACTAGAGAGTATGTGCCCAAGATAGGAGATGTCACTAGAGAGTATGTGCCCAAGATAGGAGATGTCACTAGAGAGTATGTGCCCAAGATAGGAGATGTCACTAGAGAGTATGTGCCCAAGATAGGAGATGTCACTAGAGAGTATGTGCCCAAGATAGGAGATGTCACTAGAGAGTAGCAAAGTAAAGAAGAAGTACACCACACAAAGGCCACTACCAACCACCCACTAAAAAACAGAACAGAAAAAACAGTTTTAAAAAACTACAACATAAAGTACTATTTTGATGAGTTTGAGAGAAACACAAGCCAGGAGACACTGACCACACACAGTTTGAGAGAAACACAAGCCAGGAGACACTGACCACACACAGTGTGTGAAAAACACAAGCCAGGAGACACTGACCACACACAGTGTGTGAAAAACACAAGCCAGGAGACACTGACCACACACAGTGTGTGAAAAACACAAGCCAGGAGACACTGACCACACACAGTGTGTGAAAAACACAAGCCAGGAGACACTGACCACACACAGTTTGAGAGAAACACAAGCCAGGAGACACTGACCACACACAGTGTGTGAAAAACACAAGCCAGGAGACACTGACCACACACAGTGTGTGAAAAACACAAGCCAGGAGACACTGACCACACACAGTGTGTGAAAAACACAAGCCAGGAGACACTGACCACACACAGTTTGAGAGAAACACAAGCCAGGAGACACTGACCACACACAGTTTGAGAGAAACACAAGCCAGGAGACACTGACCACACACAGGTGACCTTTATACACGTCCACACTGACCACACACAGGTGACCTTTATACACGTCCACACTGACCACACACAGCTTACCTTTATACACGTCCACGACTGTCGGTGGAAGAACACGGCCGGACCAGAGGAGCGGTTGTCCAACACGCTGGGGAAGGGAAGCAAGCGCTGGTCAGAGCAGCACAAAGCACGGAACCTCAACCAATTACACTCCAACTCGCCCCGGATCGCTAAAAAATATCCCTAAGCACTCGCCCCCGGATCACCCTTAAATTCTCCAACACGCTCCGCCCCTACACGC